AAATATTTGAATTCTGTTCGTTTTTTAAGGAGGCATTTTTATATTTTATCCGATTTTGGCAAAGCCTTATTCAGGGATTTTCTAAGACAGTCGCAGACAATCAGCGCACGGAGGATGTACGTACAAAACATGCTGTTGTACTACCGGCGACGGTCGCCTGCAAGAAGAGAGCTCCAGCTCCTAACGTAAAAGTTTTAAAATTTCGACCGGTTTTAAATAATTAGTGTTGGAAATCTGACATGTTTTAAGAGTGCGAAATTAAGGTGCATTTTCGAGCGGACGAATTTTTCTGAATAGAAATCGGCAAATGAAAAAAATAGGAGTGCTAAACAGTGTGCTTCGTTAGTTTAAAAAAAATGAAATGTCTGTCAAATTGACGTAAACTTCCCCATTTTTCACAGAAAAAGCAAAGGTCGTGGCCGAGTTGCAAGCTAAAAAACTCAAAAATCAAAACAAAATCATCAATCAGTGAGTATTATGACAAGGAAAACAAAACATCAGACGCGGAGAAGCGGTCAGCGCGTCAAAAGAGTTGTTATCGTAATGTATCAAGTTACCTCTCTCTGTGATTTTTGACTCCCATGTGCGAAGCACAAAATGGGAGTCTTTGCAGTTAGTGTGTCTGTATGTGTGTGTGTATGTGTGTATGTGTGTATGTGTGTGTGTGTGTATGTGTGTCCGACTGTTCCACTGCTATCTCAAGAACCATACATCGGTTTTTGATGAAACTTGGTGCATAGATGCTCTGGGCCAATGCGCAGATTTGATTAGGTTTTGGTAAAAATCCATGCTCGTTAATTACCTAATTTGCATGATAATTAGCTAATTTTTAGCTGTTCTATGACTGTTCCACTGATATCTAAAGAACCACTCATTGGATTTTGATGAAACTTGGTACATAGATGCTCTGAACATATGCGCAGATTTGATTAATTTTTGGTAAAAATCCGTGCATATTAATTACCTAATTTGCATGATAATTAGCTATTTTTTAGTGGTTCCATGACTGTTCCACTGATATCTAAACAACCACTCATTGGA